AGTTTTGAATCCAAAAATTATTTTCAATGAGGCTTTAAATTTGGCATATAGAAATAATTTCATCTTTGTTTCTGCTCCTTGGATTTGTGCTCTTGGGGGAAATAGGGGGATGACAATGAGTCACTACTCCTATTCTAACAGCTACTCTATCTGCAGTCACCAGTCTCCTGCACCTGAAGAACTCCTAACATTCGAGCCTTTTTTCAACCATAGATCATTCTGCGCACTCAGTAAAGTGGTTTTCTTCATCCCCAAGATATATAGCTAACTTAAATCAAAGTTCTCCATTATTATACCCAGCAGAGAACCAAACCCAGAACCAAGGAACTCAGTTCCCACAGATCGGACAACCACTGGGTGATAGGACAGCTCAAAAGGTAACCATAATAACACACTAAAGACAATTTGAAAAGGTCATATATAATTAATAGAATATTCTCGACAAATAAACAAACGGCTTAAGTCCCACTTAGGTTCAGGGATAAATTTGTTAAAGTGGTTATTCCCTCTGCAGTACTGTTTGCTACTGGACAGTAGTATCAAACACTTGGCATGTTAGCTTATTTACTTTAACCCACTGGTTAAAGCTTTTTGGAGACAAATAATTTTTCTAAGCATAAAAACCCTGCCCATAAAAACCCTGCCCATTTTTTTTCAAATGTAAATAACTCCAAAGTACATTAGGCTCCTCTATACATGACAATCACAAGTACCCTTGGAGAATTAGATTCAATTTCTCCTTGGCAAAAGTTTTAAGCGTTTCTTCGTATTATATCGAAGGGGGCTCCCACAATTCTTACAAATCTTAACCATCAGAGCAACAAAGAATTCTCTTCTTTCTATAGGATGATATCAAAAGATGAATAGAGCTATCAGATAGACAAAGTAAAAGTAAATCTGGATAGGCTGTCCTTAATTTTCCCAAATAAAATAAATAACAAATGAAATAAATAAAACTCAAATAGTTATCAATAATATTAGTAGTTCACAACCAGTAAAAGAGGGAGAGAAATAAATGCCTGTTACCTGAAGGCTTGAGCAAGGATGAACAAGACAGCAAGTCCACCAGACTCGCCTGTTTTTATCAAATTGATTGTAACTTGCGAGCCGCAATATTTGGGGCAGAACTGTCTGAGTTTATAGTTTTCTATGCCTGCCAAAAACAGATGCAGACTACCACACTAGCTGTTCTGCGGAAACTAAATTAAGCAAAGGCAAATACCAAATGGAAAGTTGTCAGTCTGTTGAATGAATGGCTTCATTTTACACACTAGAGAATATCTTCATAAGAATATGTTTTAATGTGCACCCGTCATTTTAAGTGCATCACGTATGACAAAAAATAATATCCCCTTTAAATCACTCGGGAGCACCTGTCCGTAACTTTCTTAATGTCTATTTTGTTTTTTTCACACAATAGCATAATGTTGTTACATTACTCTCTGACAGTAAAAGTGAAAGATTATTTTCTTTCTGTATTTATAATGGGAAAATATCTAAAAACCAGTCATCAATATTCAGGCCAATCTCAAAGTCAAACTTGTTAGTCGAAAAACAACTGGCTACAAGTCCTTATAAAACTTTCAAAACTGTTTATTTGTTTCAAAAAGAAGGGTTTATCAAAACTTTACACACTGACATTTCTAAGTAGAACTGTGCAGATTATTAACTGCATTTATGGTCTGTATTTCTGTACACACACACACACAATAATGAGAAGAAAGATAGGAACATCATTGAAATACTAGGACGTTAAAAACAGCTTTCCACAGATGCATTCATTTCTGTTTTAAAGGCTTTCTTTATGAATGAAGATTTCCTGACTGTATTAGAGAGAACTACGCTGTGGAAATCCCAGTAAACTCACAAGTTGTATGTGACTTAAAAGAAAAGTAAAAATAATACTGAAATTGGGTAAGGGTATGTGTAAGTCACTTAAGATGATTAGCCCACTAATCTGGACCCTAACCTATCTTTAAGCAAGCATGTAGAAAACATTAGAAAGTCATTTAAAGCCTTAATCATCACAAGGCTGAGCTCTAAAACCAACTCAGACCTCACAGCTACTCTGACACTCTTCTCCCTACTTTCAATGCTACCTTTAAAGAGACAAAGAAGGAAATCTCACTGGCAGCGAAGACCCCTTACAACAACTAAAACTCAAAGCAGTCACAAACTTTTTCGCTAAGAAACTTATTATCCTCCACCTTGTACTTGGAGACTGTGAGACTTAGCATGCATGGAAAAAATAAAAAAAGGGATTCCACACACAGACCCTAACTTATAAAAGATATATCAGGAAGCCGTAAACATCGGTTCCCCGATATTCATACTTTGCCAACAGCATATTAATGAAGCTTCAGAATGTCTCATATGTAAAGGAATCAAGTCATAAAGCTGGCCCTAAAACCCTTTCCTCCTGAGGAGTTTTAATTTCACATTGTTAATATCCAGGAAGAGTCGTCAAACTTTAGCACATTCATGGCCCTGAATATTTAACTGAATTTAAAGATGTTTTCATCCAAGGAGATGGCTTTAAAGGGAAGTTATGAAATCTGAGGCGAGATAAGCTCTAAGAATGATATGTTTGACTTGTTAAGATGAAGCACGTCATTAATAAACTTTCACTTAAAATGTAAAAAAAAAAACCCTCAAAATGTTGGTATCATTTCCAGACTGTGCTGTCAGCATCCCAGCTTACAGGAAGCGCTTCATCATCCCATACAGATCCTGTATTTATTCACCACCCTGTTGTACTTAGGGAGAGAATAAAAGCCCAGACCCAGTTTGCTTTTTAAACATGAACCAGCGGACTATCTGGGAGAGCCTTCTAAGCAAATGAGCAAGCAGCCTGGAGGAAACTTTACAACAGTGAACTCTCAAACTTTCATTCTTATTTTGTCCACGTCAAGAACTGGCTGCCCGCATTACTTTCCCTTGCTGCCCCTTGCATTTTTAACTCCGGCAGCCTTTTTTTTTTTCCTAAATGATCAACTTTTTCCTAAAACCAGCAGGAAAGTAACATGATGCCAGCAAGATCCATAGGTTTTAACTTAAGAGCTTGGGGGGGGGTGGTGTACAAGACTTTGAAGATTGGTACAAGCCTATTTTATTTTTGCTTTGAACAATCAAATGGCAGCCACCAAGCAGGCCCAGAGTAATCATTTTCTTTGTCACTTGGATCTCAGGCCCTATCTGTATTTTCCCATCCTACTGACTGCTCCAAGGCCCTTTTCCTACACACCTGGTGCGCTGACAAAAGTTCGAGGCATCTACCAAAGTTTCAGGAATCGACCTAAAGTGACTGCAATTTAACTTCTCCGCTAAGCTGCTCACTTCACTTACCTCACTCACAACTCTAGCCGCGATATTCCAAAATAGGATAAGGATGAATAGTCTATCATAATTTGGATTCATCATTAACATCCATCGCTCTACTCAAAAAACTTTCACAGTACCAATTCTGGGGCCTACAGAGATAGAAGGAAGTAAAGCAAAACCTCACATTTAATAAGCCCAAGATTCCCTCCGAAACCCACCAGTCCTTCTGGCCCTCTAACTTCAATTGCTTTAGAGGAGTCTGAGGGCCATAAAACAGTTGCCGCGACTTCCCAGGGGAAAGTGGGGGGGAAGAACCCTCTTGCTATGCTCCAGGTACTAACCAAAAAAAAAAAAAAGAGAGAGAGAAAAAAGAAAAAAAGAAAATCCCTTCCCCAGCCACAAAAACAGTTCTGCTCTTCAAACAGCTCCCACCTCCGCCTCACCCTCCAATTATTCATGGGGTCCTATAATCCTGGAGCTATTTGAAGGGACAGCGGTGTTTGCCTTGGCCTTTCCAAGATGCGTTTCTCTGGAACCCAAACAGGAACTAGACAGAAGGCGAAGCGTCTGTCCGCCTGGAGGTCCCACCGCTGTCAGGCATTTAATCACCGGCCAGCGTCCGCTGACCCGCGACACATGGCGCATCAGCAGCACCGCAGAGGAAGTCTGCCCCTTCCCCGGCCCCTACGGAAGCGCCCTGGCTACAAGGCCCTGCCACATGGCACGGACAGGGCACGGACCCTTCAGCCAAGCCGCCCCGGGCTGGCGCACCGGCGGGTGCATCCAGGGGATGGATGCGACACCCTCGCCCGCCTTCTCCAGCCCAGCTGGGCCTTGAAGTGGAAAAAAAAGTTTGAAGCCTGGCTGTGCAAAACTCTTGCAAGCCAGCGCCAGTCCTGGACGGCTCTCCCACTCGGGGGATCCCCGGAAGGCCCCTCTCCGCGACCCTCCCGACCCTCCCAAGTTGGCCCAACTTACTACTCTGCATGCTGGTGCCTAGTCTGCTCCCCGCTTGTCAGGAGCCCCAGAAAACTTGCAGCGGCTGAGGCGGCAGCGGCTGCGGCCCCTCGGGTCCAACCACCTCCAGCTCCTCCACTGCGCCCGGTAGGAGAGAATTAAAATCAGCCAGAAAGAGACAGCGAGGGGGAGTGGGGCTGCGAGGGGGAGGGGGCACCGGCCCGAAACTTCTTTTTTTGGCAAATGGGGATTTGTTTTTCCTCCTCCCCGGCGGCTGAACTTGACCCTCCTGACTCCAGAGGCTACTGCAGTTTGAAGTCGCCCGTTTCTAAGCCTCAGATGCCTGGAGTCCCGGGAAAAGGAGGAAAAGAGGGAAGGAAGGGGGTGAAAGAGAGAGCAGAAGGAAGAAAGAAATCACACGCGCAAAAAAAAAAAAAAAGAAAGAAAGAAAAGAAAAGAAAGAAAAAGAAAATGCATGTGAAATCCGAGAAGCCTGAGCTGGGCTGTCTGCACACTCTCCCTCGGCATTTTTTTTTTTTTCAAAGAAAGTCACTTTTAATTCCCAGGGCTCCCCGCTCGCGATCGCCCACATTTTGCGCACACACGCGCGGGCGCAGCACTCGCGGCGCGGCGCCCCGGGCTCGACCCGGGGGGCGCCGCGCCCCCACGCCCCCCTCCCCCCCGCGCCGGCCCCGCGGCCCGCCCGGGCCTCCCCTCCTTACCTGTTGATTAATCGTCAAGAACACCCTCGGCAGCCCGAAAGATGGTGGCGCGGCGGCCAGAGCCATGAACCGTCTTCTGTTGTTTGCAGAGTTGATCTTGGATTATTGGGGGGCAGGGGGGGAGAGAAAAAAGGTCTTTCCTGCCTCCCCCCCCTTTCCCTTCCCTCCCCCCACCTCTTTATAAAAAAAAAAGAAGAAGAAGAGAGCGAGAAAGAGAAAGGAAATAGAGCAAGGATGTGCCCGGTGCCGGGTTGGGGTGGGGGGGGGGTGTTGTTTTTTGTTTAAAAAAAAAATAGGAAGGCGAGAGAGCGATCGCGAGGACGCGGGGTCTGGAGAAACCGGCAGCACCAAAAAAGAGGACGCTCGAGATTGCAGTGAGATCGGGTCTTTATCAGAAATGTTATCGCTTGTCAGGACCTCAGTCTCCGCGCATTACGTCAGTTTCAAGACACCAACACTATTAATATCAAAGGAGCCTTCGCGGAGGAAAGCGCCACCCCAGCCCCGGCTCCCTTAAAGAGACAGCGCGCGTCCCCGCGCCGCCGCCGCCGCCGCCGCCCCGCCCGGCCCCGGCCCCCGCCGCCGCCCGCCCGCCGGGACCCGCCGCGGCCAGCCGGGCTGCGCGAGAACTTCGGCCGAGTCGGAGCGCCGCAAATGAGCGCGGCGCGGGGCCGGGACCCGGCTACCTTCCCGCCCCGCCTCTCCCCCTCTCTCCACCCCCGCCCCCCATGTGTGAAACGTGCGGGTTCGAAAAGGGGGGGTGGAGAGATGGGTGGGGGGGTGGAAATCGGGGCGCTCCAGAGAAGATCGTGATAAAGACCGAGAACCTACCTGGGGGGGGGGGGGGGAGAGGAGGAGGAGGAGGAGGAGGGGGCGGGGAGCGGAGAGGGAGAGGGGGAGGTCGAGCGCGGCGGCCCCCAAACGCTGGTGCCCCCCCCCCCCCAACCCCGCGGGGAGATGCTCTCGGGAGCCGGGCGAAGAAGTCTCAAAAAGTGCGTTTACCTTTTGGCGGGTGACTTTCCCTTCTCCCTCCCAATTAAGCGACGCGGCGGCGCGGGGTGTGCGTGTGCGGCCCCTCCCCCGCCTTTTCTAGGACAGGAAGTGTCTGGGGACACCTAGACGGGGGTCAGGGATTCCCAGGCAGGGCGCGGGGAGCGGCTGCGGCGAGCACGGTTGCAGCTCTCTGACTTGGAGAAGTGCGGGCTGGGGCTGCTCTCTGGCCTCCGCCAGCAGCCAGCCAGCTCCCGGGGTGCTGCCAGGGGGGCGGGGGGTGGGGGGAAACATCTCCGATAAAATAGGGACATGTAGCCCATCTAGGCTGCTGGAGGTTCCTACCTGCAAGCTCTGGGGCTTTTAGGAAGCAGATGAGACACTCTGGACGCCGCCTGGTATTCCTAGACGAATGCTCATCTCCAACATACTTTTCTCGTGCAGTGAAATTCCCTGAACATAAAGTTATTGACTTGAGCGGCTTTGGTGGGGGTGGTGGGGGGGGGGAGCGGGGAACGGGCTGGGGTATGGGTTTTTGTTTTGGGGGTCTCTTTTTCCTTGGGAGGTGGTTGTGTTTTTCCCACTCCTAAAGATCAACAATGTATAAGAGTACCAGGAGAGGATTCAGAGTATAGTGGGTGTTAAAAGACTAAAGTAAACATTTCTTGGGCCTTTGGACTTCATTTTCTTCACTTGGGTGACTTTAAGTGGCCTGTTTTTCCTCTGGCGAAAGTCAGTTTCGACTAATTTTGTGCTAAAAAGAGAAACATCCTTCCTTCTCCAAACTGCAAAATGATTAAAATTAGAATTTTAGAGAGGTACAATCATGAACCTGTGAGCTGAAGATGAAGTAATTTCCTTCAAAATATTTTTCACGAAATGATCTTTGCATCTTTTTAGAGGAAAAGATGAGTGTCTTTCCGAAACATACTATTATCAGAAATGAAAAATCCAATCATTAAAAAGAAAATTTAACTTAAGTGTGTGCTCTCAGAACATTAATCCTTTTTCTGTTCGGTCGTCGTTTCTTCTAAATATACCTGCTCAGGCAGATTTATGATTCCTCCTTGTAGAATTTTATTCCAGAAGAATCTAGGTAGCTTACTTACCCCAGACACTGTAAGTAGAAAAGCGATATCTCTTTTGCACTAAACAGACTAGTCAGGTAAAAGAGTAGTGGAAATCGAGTTTCACAACAAGGCAAACAATATATTCCCTCAAGGAATAAGAAGACAATGAACCTCATAGGCATGGAGTTATTCATATGTTATCATCAATTTAAATTAATTTAGGCACAGTGGTAGATTTATATATAGTCTTGCAGGGAAAATTAATATCAAAATCTTCGGTAAATCTCATAGTCAGCTACTAATGACCACCTGCATATTTCTACGCTGGAGTCATTTAATACTGTCCACCACCAATTTCCACTGTAAAAAAGTATTCATATATTAAATATAGACCTTTTATTTTCTTTTTTAAGCCGTAAATTAACTTGCTGACTTTTATGGAAATATTCATGGCACAGTGAGAAGCATTTTTATTCAGGAAAAACGGGGGGTGGGGGGGGGGCTCAGAGTGAAACATTCTTTAGCTATGACTAACTAAATATATTAGATCAAATAAATTTTGAAATATAAATCTGAGTGGTAAAGTCATTTCTGCTTAAAGGGTTAATACCACCTGAAACTGCTGAAGCTGGTATCCCACTGATAAAATCTGAGGCTCTAGAATCTTAGCAGCAAAGTTAAATAGTACAATATATCACAAGGATTAGTTCCCTAATCTCCTTCTGCTCCCCAAGATTTAAATGACATTTTTAAAAGAGGAAGAGAGATCTTCCTCTCCATCACCCTCAAATCTAAGGCAATCGCCAAGAGTGTAAATTTACTCACAAGAAACAATCATTGATTAAATTGGTTCAAAAAATTAAATTACATGCTTTTGCAACACAAAGCTCTTGAGATCTGGTGTTTTTCCACCTGTAATAATACAACATTTCACCATTATGTGTACCCAAAATTATATATTGTATAAAAAGTTAAAGCCAAAGGTCTGAGGGTGAATTATGTCCTTTAATTGAAAGGATAAAGTTACACTTCAGGTACTGAAGCCAACAAATTCATGGTCACTTAAAAATTTAATGAATGAAGTTTCACGGACTCAATTTTGCTCGAGTTTGCCTAAGAAATAAAGAATCTCTTCATATTACTTTTTGTATTTCAAGTTCGAACACAGCAGATCAAAATGTTGTCTGTATCAATCCACTCACATTAGCCACAAAAGATCTATAGAGAACTTAATAAGAGCACAAATATTTTGGTAAACTTTTTTAAGCAAATTACTTATTTATTTTTGAAAATAATTTATGAAGAAAATTTTTACCTCATGCTTTAGATGTATTACATATGCTCTTGATTGACACAATATGTTTAAACTCAAAGGCCCTCGTAGCATTTTTTAATTCTAGTAGGAATATTTCAAAACAACCAACTAATACATGAGGTCATAATTGTTTGACAGTTGTTTTTAATATATAAAATAAGCTATGTATATTGTTTTCCTTCAAATGTTTGTTGATTTGTTTTTATAGTCCTGACATTTGCATGGCATAAACTGAATTAGGGGAAATATTAAAGATTTATTTACATTTATTATCTTCTCCTGTCAAACATATGCAAAGCTCTTAAAACCATTCTTTTGCTTTTATTTGCAATGCATTTCTGAACAATGGAGCCTGTGTGTTAAAATTACAACCTGCACTTTTATAAGTTATATCAGAAAATCAAGGAGAAACTACGAGAAAATTCTTAAAGCAAACAAAAGAAACAACTTCCAAGTAAATTTCTTTGTAATATTTCAGAATTCTAAAGTATCTTCAATGACTGGACAGCTGATGATACAGTTCCTCGAGCTGTCTCCATGCTTATTTATAAAAATTACATAATATACTTTTCGTTTCATTATTTAAACATTCTTTACCCCCTTTTCTTGTAGTTTATTTAACAGTGATACAAAGAGGGATTAGTAGTTAAGCACAAACATACTTGTTTTACATTTTCAACCTTTTAGCACATAACTTACTTACAGTTCCAGTGCCTGTGATCACAATGATTTTACCTGATGGGACACGTATTTCAGAAATGTAATCCAACTGTTTACCCTAACACGTCATAAATTGCAATTCTTTTCAGAAACCTCAAAGATTGACAACCCGTGGTCCTAAATCCCGACTGCTTTAAGGTACACTATCAAGAAACTATTTATGTACTAGTTGCTCTCAAGTTAGTACTTTATCATATAAAATAAGAAGTCATTTTTACCTTCTAGCTCATCAAAAGCAGTTACTTAAGTAGTCTTCCCTCCTTCATGGAAGAACCCAAAGGGGCAGGAAATTATCAAAGATGAGCTTCCATGAGTCTATTTCTTGCAATCACACACCACTCAAACTTAAAGGAAAAGGGGGGAATAAAAACAACTCTTCTACACAAATTATAATCATTTTCCAAAGTACCTATTGCTGAACACCTCTGGGTGAATTTATTAAAGATAAATTCTGCTTTAAATAGCCTGTATCTGGTATTCAAATTCACACTTACACTTGCCAATCCTCCCCCCTGCAATATCAGGCAACTGCCTAGTTAAACAGATGGGCCTTGCAGCCCACCCTAAAAGCCAACAAACATGGACTTTATTTAATTAAAAGAGGAAACAAATTTTTGAGGTGTAGACACACACATGCTCACACACGCACACGAACATACACACAAAATCCCTGCCTAGGGTGGTCCGGAATAATAACGACTCTTGCTTTTCCATTACACTGTACCAACCAACGTCCTACTGTATTCTAGTCATTAGATTAAAAGCACAATGAAATAAGATTATTCAGTGCTGTGTTTTCAAATCAGAGCACTCTAGGAAGTAGCTAGGTTTACTTCCCTTCCAACAAGAATTAAGAGTCAATATTTCCATCTGAATTAACCCAACCACCTGAACCTAAAAAGGAAGATATTGTCCAATTTTCTCTATATTTGTGATCTCATCTCAATCGTCTTCTCCTGTGAGTCTCTCTCAGCCTATCCACTGACCAAACTTTATGCAATTATTTTGTGCCGCTGTATTTAATGAAGCCCAATCTCCAAATTTCTGCCCAAATTTTCAACAGTAAGTTTCCACTAGCAATTCCTCTTAGTAATTCAGACATGACTTAGACCTCATGCCGTAATTTACCAAGAGGAGTCTATAAACAGAGACTACATGGAAGGAGGAAGGAAATAGACAAACCCTATCTCTGTTAAAGGATGAGTCATACAGGCCAGAAACCTCAGACATTTTACATCTTTGTCAATATCCTCTCCCACAGGGCCCACATCTAATCAGTTACCTAGTCTCCCTATTGTTTGTTCTCAAAAGGCTTTTGTCCCTCTCAGTGTCTTCCTTTCCATCCACAATGACCCTTCCCAAATAGAAAGTTAAAGACATCCCTTGGAAC